TGAAGATTCCACTTACCTGCTGGAGTGACAGTACGACTGTACTTGCATGAGTCATGAGTCTGAGTCTTGCCGGTATGGAGCCCGTGTTGCCGAAGGGCAGCGGCTTACAGATCATGTTAATTGGCGGTATGTAGAGTCTAAAAACAATCCCGCTGATGACCTCACTCCAGGTCTCCAGTTGCGAAAGCTACATGAAGGTAGTGGATGGCACACACCACCATTTCTAGTTCAGCCTGAAGCAAATTGGCCCAGAAAACCATACAAGGTCACCCCGGAAGCGGCAAGTTTGGAATTGAAGCCAGACTTCTTCACCAGACTGCTGGTGACACCCCAAGAGAAACGTCCAGAAGTTGATGTTTCACAATTCGACTCATGGGACAGGCTGGGGTTGAGGGGTATGGTGAAGCTCTCTACATCAGCGCTCTCTTGAGCGCTGATGACCATTTGGAGGTTCAAAAACTCCTTTTCCAGCAAGTGCATTCCGACTGTTTTCAAAATGACCTTGTGACTCTCTGCGTTGGCAAACCAGTTTCAAATAAAAGCAGATTGAGTTGCCTTTCCCTTGAATATGACAACCAGAATACGCTCATCCGAGTTGGTGGGCGACTCCGTCGGGCATCAGTGCTGGACGCTGATGCCAAGCACCCGATAGTGCTAGACCCCAAACACCCAATTACTCGTCTGCTCATCAAAGAGGCTGAGTGTCGCTTAGGACATAGCGGTGCCGACATGGTCCTTGCTGACGTACGACGTCGTTTCTGGCTGCTACGGGGGCGACACTCTATCAGAAGCCTGCAAAGTCACTGTGAAGGCTGCATCAGGCGACGTGGAAAGCCCTCCATTCCCAAGATGGCAGATCTACCAACAGCTCGACTCCACATTAACAAACCTGCCTTTTATTCCACAGGAGTCAATTGTTTTGGCCCATTCAAGGTTTCTATTGGCCAAAGGACTGAACAGAGATGGGGAATCCTTTGGAAGTGTATGACCACCCAAGCAGTCTATCTTGATCTACTTGACTCCCTTGACGCTGATGCCTTCCTGATGGCATTAAACCGTTTCCATTCCTGGAGAGGTGCTCCATATGAGGTCCTGTGTGACAACAAAACCAATTTCAAGGGAGGATTGACAGAGTTGACAAAGGCCTTCAGTGAGATGACGCCTAGCTTATGCAGGAGAAGCTTGGAAAGTCCAAAGTCCGATTCCAGTTCAACCCACCCGCAGCTCCTCACTTTGGTGGAACTTGGGAAAGGGAAGTGCGCTCAGTGAAGACAGCGCTATCTGCCATCCTTGGTAACCGGACTGTATCTACCTCCGTCCTGTACACCAGTTTGGTTGAGGTGGAAGCACGTACTCCTCAACTCAAAACCTTTGGGGTATGTGTCCTTGGATGTTGCAGACCCTTATCCAATCACCCCATTCATGCTGCTTATGGGGCGGCGGGATGCATGCTCCACCCCAGGTCATTTATCCAGAGCAGTATGTCCATGGTCGTCGTCATTGGCGCCAATGTCAGGCATTGATGCAGCAGTTTTGGAGGGAGTTTGTTGGCTCGTATCTTGGCCCGCTATGCAAGCCCCGCCAGAAGTGGCAAGGGGAGATGCAGGATATGGCAGTGGGTAATGTGGTCCTGATGATAGACCCACAGCAGGTCCGAGCTTTCTGGCCCTAAGCTTGGCCCGGGTAACTGAGGTTCTACCAGGTGATGATGGACGTGTACGTGCAGTGAAGGACGAGACTGGTGGTCGTGTCTACACCCGTCCAGTTTCCATACTGATCCGACTGCCAGATGAAACACAAAGTCCGGCTGAAGGAGCTGACCCAGTCCTACCTAACCCAGACTAAGACAACATGTAGTTGTCACCTTGTTTTTCTCTACCCTGCCCTTGTTCATGGGGTGGCCATGTTGTTAATGTTTCTCTACTGTGTGGAGTGTTCCTGTTACTTAACCTTTAACTGTTCTTATACTCCAGTGTTCTTTACCTTACCTTACCTTGCCTTACCTTACCTTACCTTACCTTTCCTTTCGCCTGTGGCAAGTAAACTATTGCTCAAAGTTTAGGGGCGGCTGTGTTGCGAAACCGCTAAGCGTGAAGGGCGCACTCTAGAAGCCGGCCGCTCATCGCGCAGACCATGCTTTAGAAAATGTTGCTGGGTTGGAACGGGTGGAATGATTTGTTGACTTATTTGTTCTAATTACGTGATTTTAGCAGATTCATATGATTATTAGTGTTCGTTTCCTGATCAACCAATTATCCTAGACCATATATCTAAGCATTTTTGTTGTCGAATTAATAGATAAATAGGGTTACACTCGCCAAGGTGTCGGAAATAGACGCATATCCATATGTTTTCGTCCTGCATCGCATTTATGAGACTCGCCATTGCAGAACGGTTCCAATTTGTTACTTGGTGTACATGTGTATTTCCTTTCCCTTTGTTTGTAATCTTACAGACCAAACTTCCGAACGAACTTCCGAATGGTTCATCCACCAACCCCTGCAATATGAAATCCTAATTGTATTAACATCAATACTGTCGGAGGAGAAATTGAGTAAAATATGCACATTGGACAGCTAGCAACGTACCCTGGATATTGTTTCCCTCAATATTCAACACAGTCAGAAAAGTACAAACTATAGGCGTACTTTAGTAAAATTCAGTGCTTGGCCTATCTCCGAAATCTGCAGCCCACATGACTTGCATACTGTGCTGTGCTGCTTATGTCCATTAGCGAAATATTCCTTGTGATCTTTAAACCCCCAAGATATAATTTCTGACGAAGAAGACATATCCCAGTACGTCTGAATCGAACTCGCCGCCATGCGCCAGAGAATGTGACGCGTTTCCAACAAAGAGATTTGTCAAATCATCAGTTCTTTAGCCAATAAATCATGCAGTCTCGACGTTATTCCGACCTGGTTTCTCAAGGCTAACACTGATTCATTTCTTCCGATCATTACCCATATAGTCAACACATCGATTTCTACAGGTACCTTTCCAGATTTGCCGAAACATGCTATTGTCACTCCAATCCTCAAAAAGCCGTCGCTTGACATCAACGAACTTGCCAACTATCGTCCGGTGTCGAACTTACCTTTTCTTTCGAAGGTCATTGAAAAGGTTATCGCTTCTCGCATTACGACACATGGATGACCACAATCTATGGGAACCGCAACAATCTGCATATAGATCTGGACACAGCACTGAAACTGCACTGCTCTCAATCAAAAATGATATCATGCTGATGATTGGTGGCACGAAAGGCGTGTTTCTTGTCCTTCTCGACTTAAGTGCCGCCTTCGACACTGTGGACCACCAGATCCTTCTATGGATGCTCAGTTATTCCATTGGCCTGACGGGAAAGGCACTATCTTGGTTCCGAAGTTATCTTAGGATCGTGTAGTGTGTGTATTGACGGCACGTTTTCACACCAAAAACCACTTGACTATGGGGTACCACAAGGCTCGGTATTAGGTCCATTGGCATTCACCATCTATAAAGCCGATTGGAGACATCATTCGTGAACATGGTCTTAGTTTCCATATATATGCGGACGACACTCAAATCTACTGCAGCTTCAACCCCAAGGATCCGGAAACGATCAAATCTGCTCTTACTAGACTGTCAACCTGCATTTAAGATTTGAAGGTATTGATGACACAAAACATGCTCAAATTGATCGATTCAAAGACTGAATTTCTGGTAGTGGCCTCGACACACACACTCCGCAATTTACCTCCCATTACTCTATCATCACGCCATCGCAATCTGTCTGCAATCTTGGAGTTCATTTTGATTCAACCATGTCAATGTCAACTCATGTTCTCTATCTCAACCGCAGTATCCACTTTCAACTTCGCAACATCTCGTGAATTCGCCAGTTCCTGGATTTTGAAACTTGTCACCACGTCATCCGTGCATTAGTTCTGTCCCGTCTGGATTATGGTAACTCTCTACTATATGGTATCGCGGAGTCAGGACTGGATAAACTCCAACGACTACAAAACCAGGCTGCACGCCTTTTATTCACCACGATAGACGTGAATCGGCTTCCCCACTACTTAACCAACTTCACTGGCTTCCCATCCGGCAAAGAATTGAATTCAAGATAGCCCTTCTCATCTTCTCACGTCTCCATCACACGTCTCCTCCGTACCTTAACCGCCTCATCCAGCTCAACGTATCTGGCCGACCTGGCCTTCAATCCAGTAACGATGGTACACTATTGTCGGTGCAGAGATCCAAGAACACCTCCACTGACAGTGCCTTCGTTATTGCCGGCCCTAAGCTCTGGAACACCATTCCCTCAAGCATCAGATCACAGGAGACTATTTCATTACTCAGAAAACACTTAAAAGCTCACCTGTTTCCAATTTCATGCTAACATGTCTGTTTCATTATCTTGTGTTTTTTAGCGCCATGATCTAGATAGAATGGCACTTTATAAATCCTGTTATTATTATTATTATTATTATTAAAGAGTGATGTGCACCAGCGATACTGCGAGCGCTGCCAATACCCATTCAAGAATACTCGATTTAGAGTTGACAAAGAATACGGCGCAATACTTTCATCATTTTCATATACACTCGGTGAAATTTTTGGTCAAAGTCTGGAAAAAGTTTTGGAAAAAATCTGAATTTTCTTTTTAAGTACTGCGCGACTGGGATCGAGTTCACCGAGTACAATTTGTCGAGTTCAGGAACGAGTCCGAGTACAAAATTTCGAGTATGTGCAGAGTACTTGTTTTTTTCGAGTACTAATGATCGAGTACGGGCCAAGTTCTTATTGTTACTCGAGTAGTTCGTGTACGAGTACTCCAACACTGGTTGGAACTATAACACATTCCTAAGGCGAGTGGTGCTTTGACTTTTTTGTTTCCTTTTTTGGTTTAAATTATTCAAGCCAAATTCCCAAGCCAATGTCACTGATTATAAAAAAGGGAACGATATCTACTTATGGTGTGATCTGTTTTTTTTTCCTGAAATATCTTGCAGACCTACATGTATTGATCACATCGTCTCCGCTTACTGCGGACTGAGACTGAAGGGCGGGGAGATACAACTGAACCGTGGTGAGTGTATTTCAAGAAACTGAAATCTAAGCAAATGACATTAAAACATGAATTGGAACTAACTACATGTACATGTACACTGAAGTAAATCAGAAACAACAATAACACTTTTATAACTTCAACAAGGCCCATGCAGCCAAAATAAAGGGACTGTTTTACCGCCCTGGGCCCAATTTCATGGAATCCGTAAGCGTACGTGGGGAATCGGCGCTAGCGGTAGCAAAAAAATTACGCTTACTGTAAGCGCATTTCACGGGCGCAAAATTTATTTGCTACGGTTAGCACGAACTGTATAGCCACTGCGCATGCGTAAGTGAGAAGTGTGTGAAAGTAAATAAACTGCGGCTTAAATAGGCAAAGTCGTCTGCTACATATTTGTCGTGTGCAAACTTGAAAATGAGCAACGAAAAGGAGACACAAAAGAGGAGGGGAGCACCCTTCACTCCTCAAATTGATGTAACACTAGCTACCTCTTATTTAGAGGAAAAAAAGTATAATAGAAGGACCTTTTCTCCCAAATTTAACACGGTCTGAGGCCTAAACCTATACCTAGCCCAAATCTGTGCTGGAGAGAAAATTTCCAGGGGATTTTGCCAATCTCGCAGTTAATACTCGCGGTCGGCGGTAATTGCAACGACCGCGGCAATGTCTTCTTCGACGAATAATTGCCATTTTCCCACTGTTTAGCACAAAATATCAGTCTTAAGCGCAGAAATTCTGCGCTAACTTTTTAAGAACAAAATCTCTGCTTACAGAATCCATGAAATAGATTCTGCGCTTAGGGCGCCCATAAGCGCAGAATTCCATGCTTACGGATTCCATGAAATTGGGACCTGAATCCTTCAAAATCCTCTTTGACAAAGTGGAGGAATTTGGAGGATTGATGGCAAAATTGCTCTACTGATTTTGTAGGATGCACTTTAATTGTCAAGATCTTGGGCCGAACCTTGTGATGTTTTTGCTCAGGCATGCATAGCCTGGATTATGCTTGAAATCTTCTGTACTGCCATAGGATGTCACTGGCCAAGCCTCAACATATTGACAGTCACTGCCGCAGGATTTTGCAGGATTCAGGCAGTGGTGACCCTTCAACACACCATATTCAAGAAAACATTGAGAAACTTGCAGGATTGAGGCTATATGCTATTTTTCCATGAGGCCAGTTGGAGGATTTTGATTGAGGGTTAATAGATGAGTGCTCCCTGCCTTCATAGAGTAGGAATGACTGGTTGTGATTGTTATGAAACTTATCTTTGCAATGTACTTCGACTGTACAGAGATTGATAAGCCAGCTGCGCCTTGTACAAATGTATGTCAGTTTTATTCAGGTTATGTTGGCTACATCATGTGTGACTTTTCGAGAAATTCTCTCCCAAACTCCAGGCAAAGAAGACAACCCCTAAAATGAGTGATGTTTCCCAAAGAAAGTGAAAAGTAGCCATCTTGAAAATGGATCCTTCCACAGTTCCACTATAGGCTACCCCTAGAACTATTAAACTATGGCGCTCGAGTAGAGCGCCATAGTTCTAGGGGTACGGTATCCCTCCACAACTTGGCTAAAATAGCATCACTTTCGGGCCTGATTGCATCCAAAATGCTCTGAATTGGAAGCCCCAAGTCCAGGCCAGAGGTACATGTACTTGTATGGCCATATCTCGTCAATTATCCAATTCCATGTGTAGAGAATCCTAGGGACGGGGTGGGGTTGGGTGATGAGGTAGTACTAGTGCGGGTTGTATAACTGACTGGTGAAGAGCTCTGGGTCTGGCTAAATGGGTGATTGGGAGGGCAACACGGGCACGCAGGTCCTAGTGAACAGGTGACGCTTTGACGGTTAGTTTCCTTGCCTCAGGCTCAATGACTGCCATTTATTCCTGCCAACCTGCCAGCCCAGCTGCCAATTCTCACTGTGTGAGAATTCGGCAGTGAGGTCAAAATACAAAGAATACAAATTACAAAAAGCACGCACATGTCAGTGTTACACAGGTATAAAATTACAATAAACGTGTACATGTAGATCTATTTCCCCAAATTAAATAAACAATCTTCGCATGAAATAAGAATTACCTCAGGCAATGCTGAACATAAAGGAGCAGGCTCACATTTACACATGCTGGCCAGGCACACTCATACACACTATCAACCACTTTCATACACACCAGTCCTCAATGAACAGGAAGAGCCATTATTTACTTGTGTGTTATTATTCCCTAAATGTTAACCTTAGATAATCATAGTACATGTACTGGAATCTGACAATGCGCAATAAGACCCACGTTAAATTATACATGAACATAAATACGTACGTAACGTTATACACAATTACATGGGAATATTACGCGTGCGCGCACCATGCTGTCTCATTTTGCACGTGAACGCGTGTATGCCTATACTACACGCACAATGTTCGCTAAACTCTCCACAACGAGCTCACACTTTGGAGCCCAAAACCCACATTTATATCTTATCAAAACTTTACTTTAATGCCTCCAGTATTATCTATGAACACTAGCGGACAAATCCTAATGCAATATTGGGTAGCGTGCAGTTTGCAAACAAATGATATTTCAACTCAAAAATGAGCTTCAAAAGTTGACAACGTACCTGTGTGAGAATTCGGCAGTGAGGTGCCGGTCAAGGGTTACGCAAGGCACAGGTCACGTACATAATAAGGGGCGTGGCTTAACTACATGTAAACACTACGTGCATATCATACGCACACTCTACAACTCTTTCCCGCCTAGGGAGGCATCGCCCTCGATGCCTGGAGGCAACTTTCTGGCAAGAATTGGCAGTTAACGGCAAGATTAACACAAACGTCCCAATAGTTTTAACACTAAATAACTCGGAACGACTTTAACAGTTATTCAAAGCTCCAGGAGCTTAACACTAGATAACATGGATAACTTTAACATTTCTTCTAAGTGAATTAGCTTAACACTAAGTTACAGGGATCAACTTTAACAATTCTTCTAAGTGAAGTAGCTTAACACTAAGTTACAGGGATCAACTTTAACAATTCTTCTAAGTGAAAAAGATGTACTCTACAACTTAAGTCTATCTGGTGGCTTGTTCCGAGTGGCACGAACTGGATAGCGAGATCTGCTCGCATCATGTGTCCCGGTACCAGCATCTGAAGGAATCTCCCCACAAGTAACATCTGCATCTGCCACCTCGTGGGTGGAACTAACGTCTGAGTTGGCGTTGCCAAGCAACAAGGGGAAGTCTACTGGTTCGCCACGGACTGGTGCAGTGGTCGTTGGATACAGAACATGGCCAGTCGACCTATGCAGGGATTCCTCCCCTGAAGAAGAGTCATCGTCGCTCCCACTTGTGGAAGACTGATGAGCAGGTCCCTCCAACAACCAAGGGCAATGCTTCAGGTCACTGCGATTGAGAACTTTCTCCTTGCCCAAGTGGTTCCTAACAACGTAGACTGGACCGTCCGGGAAAGGACGACGAACAACTAAGTAGGGATCCTGCTCCCAGTAGTCCTGAATCTTGGCACGACCTTTATGACTACGACAACGGACCAGGACATACTGTCCAACATCAAGGGGCCGCTCAAAAACCTTGGCAGCTCTCACAGCCTTTCTTGCTTGGATAGCTTTCTCGTTGTTTCCCCTGGCAATCCTCCTCGCCGTTTGCAAGTGTGACTGGTGGCGACGCATGTAGTCTCCCATATCACCACGTCTGTACTCAGTGGGAAGCGTCCATTTCTCCCAAACATTAGGAAAAATGGATCCACTCCCGTTGTCGCATGTCTTGTGTTGTTGTACGCATAGACTAATGCTGGCAGATATTCAGGCCACCTCTTCTTCTTGTGTTCCGGGAGTGCGGCAAGCATGTTATGCAAGGTCCGATTATATCTTTCACATTGGCCATTACCAGCAGGGTGATAAGGCGTAGTATGACTCTGCTGTATTCCGTACATCTGGCACAGACTAGATACAACCTGGGACTCGAAGTTACGCCCACGGTCAGAATGTAGGCGGAGAGGGCATCCGAAGGAGAAGAACACATTGGAGACCAAGGCCTTGGCAACTGTTGAAGCCTTCTGGTCCTTCGTGGGGATCGCCCACACATACTTGGTGAAGACGTCTGTTACCACCAAGACGTTCTCATGGCCACTACTAGAAGCTTCCAAGAGGGTGTAATCCATTGCCAAGACTTCCAGTGGGGCAGTTGCTGCCAATGTTCCAAATGGCGGCCGGGTCTGTCGAGTTGGAGCCTTGCTGACTGCACAGCGTTTGCATTTCGCACACCAGTCCTTGGCAGCCTTCTCCATGTTGTGCCAGTGGAACCGATCCCAGAGGAGTTGGAAGGTTCGCTTTGGTCCAAAGTGCCCTGCTTCGTCATGGAACCTAACAAGAGTCTCCTCTTGGAGAGCATCAGGGAGCACAAGTTGGAACAAAACTTGGTGAGTAGCTGGAGACACCACTTTCCTTCGCAAAAGACCATCTTGCATGGATAGCCGCTTCCAGTCATGCAAGAGAGCCAAAGCCTCCTTGGAAACGGTTGCTCGTTCACCATGTGTAGGTTGCACCCCTCTTGCAACGAAATGGATAACGCTCTTCAGTGTGGAGTCGTCCTGCTGAAAAGCTGCTATCTGCTCCACCGGGCGGCCAGGGAGGCAAGAGATACCGCCTATCTGACATGCTTCTATGTGGTCGCGGACCGAGACCGGGACAGCTGTCTGGGACAGATGCCAATCTAGGGAAACATTGATTGTCGCACTTGATACAGGGGCGGTACAGTCCAGAGGATTTTCCGCCGGAGTACCTTCACAACTTCCGAACTCCGCCCGTCTCGATAGAAAGTCAGGAACTTGATTGGCCTTTCCTGGTCTGTATACCAGGTCATAGTTGTATGCACTCATCTGCAAGACCCATCTCATCTCCGTGCAACCCAAGCGAGCCTTGTCAAGGAACAGAAGAAGTTGGTGATCTGTTACGATGGAGAACTGGTGCCCCAACAGGTAGTCTTTGAATACTTCCGTT